ATCTCCGTAGCGTTAGGGAACTGGTGACGCCAAGCGTCCGTCAGGCGGCCGAAGCAGCGCTAGGTGGAGTGCGAGCCCCCGCACTGCTCACCAGCGCGGTCGCCAGTACGGAGGACGTAGGTACAGGGACCAGTACCCCCACCTCGCTAACGCCCAGCGTACCACTCACGAAGCTGCTGGGGGGACGGGGTCTCACGAGTGCGCTGCTGCTGCTGGCGCTGACCACCACCTAAGCCGCCCCGCTGCGCGGAGCAACCCCGACTAGCTCCACCTCCTCCGCCGCCACCTCCACCGCCGCCGCCACCGCCTCCTCCTCCGCTCCCATTGCCACCGCGGCCGCCGCCTCCGCTACCACTGCCGCCACCGAAGCCCCCACCCCCGCCACCACTCCCACCACCACCCCCACTCCCTCCGCCTCTTCCACCTCCACCTCCACCGCCCCCCAGCCCCTCCCACCGCCCTTGCCCCCCCTTGCCCTTGCCGGTGCGGCGTCTCCTGCTAGGGGCAGACGCAGCGCCGACCGACTCGGTGCCAACGAAGTCGACGGCAGCAGCAGAGGCAACAGAGGGCAAAAGGGGGAGGGGGAGCACCCCTCAAAGACAGGGGCACACGGGTCACCTCGAGAGGCTCCTACAGCAACTATACTCTTCTAAGCTGCCAGGAGGCGCTCCTCGAGGAGGTCAACGGTGAGTGTGGTGGGGAAAACAGAGAGGAAGTGGTCCCTGACCGAGTGAAGGGAGTCAGGGAGCCGAGTGACTATGTAGTAGAGGGTGATGTACATGGGGGGGGGGGATCTTGGTGCAGAACTCAGCAGGAAGCACAGCGCGGTAGCGGTTGTCACTAGTGCGAAGGTGCGTAACAAGGTCAGCGAGAGTGGGAAAGGCGGCGAGGTCAGGAAACAGGTACGGCAGCATGAGGCGGCTAAGAGCAACAGTGGCAGGGGAAGAGTAGCGTGCAACTATAGCGTCGTACAAGGTCTTAGCACTCTTGTACTGACTAAAGTGCGCACGCTCAGCGGTCAGTAAGTGGCGACGCACAGCAAGATGGGCAGCAGCATTGCGGGTGGCCCACTGTGAGCGAACAGTGGTGTTAGCATCAGCAAGCGGGGCAGGAGAGGCACCAGAGGTGAGATCGAACAGGGAGAGTCCGTCTGCCCTATCGCACTGTAGGAAGAGTTGTAGGTCATCGATCCAGACCTCGAAGTCAACGGCACGACCCTCAGCATCAAAGGTAAGGACACTGGGGGTAGCCATGACAGCAGTGGTCTAGCAGGGAGTGCTCTCATTAGTCCGGGTGGGTAGGGCCGGGGCGCGCCGGTAGGAACAGGGCTGCAACCGCGGTGGCAACGACTCGGCAGTGGCAGTAGCGTCTCGACGACAGCTTGGCGGTAGCGGCTCGGTAGTGGCGGCTCGATGGCGGCTTCGGCGGCTCAGCGGCTCGGCGGTTCGGTGGCTCGGCTGCTCGACGGCTCGGCTGCTTGGCGGCTCGGAAGCTCGGCAGTGAAGGGGCCGGGGAGGGGCCGAAAGGGGCGGCGTCGGGGCCGCAAGGGGCGGCGACGGGGCCGCTAAGGGCGGCGACGAGGCCACAAGGGCGGCAACGGGGCCGCAAGGGGCGGTAACTGGGCCGCAAGAGGCGGCGACGGGGCCGCAAGGGGCGGTCGGTGGTCCTTAGATCTTGCAGGAGAACTGCCTCTCACCAAGCGAGGACGCCGATATGTGGTGCGATGCGGAATCAGGCACGACGCCAACAGCTCTTCGAACTCTCCTTGGAACTCGGTGCCTTGGTCCGTCAGTACTTCCCCACATGCCCCGAAGCGTGTCAGCACTTGTTCTTCAAAGGCATCCGCCACAGCCTCCGCCGTCTTATGGCTCACAGCCCGCACCTCGACCCACTTGCTCACGTGCTCAATCATCACAACCACATATCGGCGTCCTCGCTTGGTGAGAGGCAGTTCTCCTGCAAGATCTAAGGACCACCGACCGCCCCTTGCGGCCCCGTCGCCGCCTCTTGCGGCCCAGTTACCGCCCCTTGCGGCCCCGTTGCCGCCCCTTGTGGCCTCGTCGCCGCCCTTAGCGGCCCCGTCGCCGCCCCTTGCGGCCCCGACGCCGCCCCTTTCGGCCCCTCCCCGGCCCCTTCACTGCCGAGCTTCCGAGCCGCCAAGCAGCCGAGCCGTCGAGCAGCCGAGCCACCGAACCGCCGAGCCGCTGAGCCGCCGAAGCCGCCATCGAGCCGCCACTACCGAGCCGCTACCGCCAAGCTGTCGTCGAGACGCTACTGCCACTGCCGAGTCGTTGCCACCGCGGTTGCAGCCCTGTTCCTACGGCGCGCCCCGGCCCTACCCACCCGGACTAATGAGAGCACTCCCTGCTAGACCACTGCTGTCATGGCTACCCCCAGTGTCCTTACCTTTGATGCTGAGGGTCGTGCCGTTGACTTCGAGGTCTGGATCGATGACCTACAACTCTTCCTACAGTGCGATAGGGCAGACGGACTCTCCCTGTTCGATCTCACCTCTGGTGCCTCTCCTGCCCCGCTTGCTGATGCTAACACCACTGTTCGCTCACAGTGGGCCACCCGCAATGCTGCTGCCCATCTTGCTGTGCGTCGCCACTTACTGACCGCTGAGCGTGCGCACTTTAGTCAGTACAAGAGTGCTAAGACCTTGTACGACGCTATAGTTGCACGCTACTCTTCCCCTGCCACTGTTGCTCTTAGCCGCCTCATGCTGCCGTACCTGTTTCCTGACCTCGCCGCCTTTCCCACTCTCGCTGACCTTGTTACGCACCTTCGCACTAGTGACAACCGCTACCCCCGCGCTGTGCTTCCTGCTGAGTTCTGCACCAAGATCCCCCCCCCCCCATGTACATCACCCTCTACTACATAGTCACTCGGCTCCCTGACTCCCTTCACTCGGTCAGGGACCACTTCCTCTCTGTTTTCCCCACCACACTCACCGTTGACCTCCTCGAGGAGCGCCTCCTGGCAGCTTAGAAGAGTATAGTTGCTGTAGGAGCCTCTCGAGGTGACCCGTGTGCCCCTGTCTTTGAGGGTGCTCCCCCTCCCCCCTTTTGCCCTCTGTTGCCTCTGCTGCTGCCGTCGACTTCGTTGGCACCGAGTCGGTCGGCGCTGCGTCTGCCCCTAGCAGGAGACGCCGCACCGGCAAGGGCAAGGGGGGCAAGGGCGGTGGGAGGGGCTGGCGGGGGCGGTGGAGGTGGAGGTGGAAGAGGCGGAGGGAGTGGGGGTGGTGGTGGGAGTGGTGGCGGGGGTGGGGGCTTCGGTGGCGGCAGTGGTAGCGGAGGCGGCGGCCGCGGTGGCAATGGGAGCGGAGGAGGAGGCGGTGGCGGCGGCGGTGGAGGTGGCGGCGGGAGAGGTGGAGCTAGTCGGGGTTGCTCCGCGCAGCGGGGCGGCTTAGGTGGTGGTCAGCGCCAGCAGCAGCAGCGCACTCGTGAGACCCCGTCCCCCGCAGCTTCGTGAGTGGTACGCTGGGCGTTAGCGAGGTGGGGGTACTGGTCCCTGTACCTACGTCCTCCGTACTGGCGACCGCGCTGGTGAGCAGTGCGGGGGCTCGCACTCCACCTAGCGCTGCTTCGGCCGCCTGACGGACGCTTGGCGTCACCAGTTCCCTAACG